GCAAGACTGGGGCCATTTTGATCGCAATTGCCAGCTCCTCCATGCTTGTGGAAGTGGATGGGCCTGAGTTTGGGCGTGCGTGGCGAGAAGAACGCGTGTGGTGTTTTTGGACTCTTGAGCATCTTTGGGGTTGTTTTGGCAAGTGAGAAAGCATGTTGGGCGGGTGTTTGCTTGCTCTTGGCCTTTTGTAACCGCGGGTGTGAAGACAAAAGTCCATTGGAGTTTGTTGAATTATTGTGTGTGGGTGTGCAGATGGTGCGAGGAGCCCCGCCCCCCTACAGGCCTCCTGGCCAATCAGAGCGGGAGCTGCTGCAGCCACCCCAAGGTCAGTCTCTGTCAAATTGCTTGTTTTGATGCCCCCCCCCCCCCCACCCACCCATGTACTTGTTAAGTTAGGAATGCATAATTGCCAATTGGTCCCCCGTTTGGAGAATGACTGAATGAGTGACTCATGCCTTCATGACATGCATCAATGAGGGGGCGGGAACAAAAAGCGGGCGTCGTGGTCAAAGAGCTCCGAGCATTTTCCACCCTTGTGATGACTGCGCAAGCTTTTGGGCAAACTTTCGATCGATGGGGGGGAATTCGGAGTTGGGAATTCAAACTCCACTTGGCTCATCTCCCGGCGTTGATCATCAAATGGCAGGCAAAGTTTTTCAAGGCGGCGTGATGAACGGCGCACCCGAGGCCACGATTCTCTCTCGAGCGTCAAATGCTTGGCGACGCGCGCCTTTCTTCAATCGACTTGAACGCTGCCGAGCTTAGTTGAATTCACTTTTGCAAGCGGCAGTGTTGAAAACATTTTTTTTTTTCTGTCTTTGCAGGCCTTGTATGACCACGCCCCCCCCCCTCCCGCTTTTCCCCCTTTTACTAAGTGGACCAATGGAGTGATTCGATGACGCTTTGACACGCTCAGTCGCGTTGTTGTTTCCGCGGGACTTGGGCCGCCTTTGTGGGCGGGGCTAATGAGGGCTTGACCTCTCCCCGGTTGAGGGGTGAGAGTGCGGCCGGCGGAACGTTGCTTCCTCAAATGTCACACGTCAACCTATTGGGGGCGGTCCTCATGCGGGAATAAAAGGATGGGAGTCTTTCTTTGGCCTTCTTGTGTCCTGCGGGAACGCTCGCAAAGAGCGGCCGGCGCCGGCTCGCTCCGACGGACGCGGTCGGGCAAAACCCAAAAGGATCCATCGCGTCGTCACTTGGTCGCTTTCTTCCGCGACTCGCTCGCTTCCGTCCTTCCCTCAGACCGGGGTTTGATTTGGCATCTTCCTTGCTGCGCTGGGAGCGACTTTTCTGCCTTCCTTCCTTTTTACCGCGGCGTCGCTGTCGCCAACAAACATCTCGGTCGCTGAGGCCAAAGGCGAGGAAAGCGCCGGTCGCGTGGCGGCACCCGGAATTGTTGCGGGATTTAAAAAAAAAAAAAAAACAGAGTCTGCCGCCCCAAAATGAGATGTGCCCAAATGCGCACCCAATGTCACGCCGCCGGCCAAAGGGCAGCGCCGCATTGGGCACGCCCCGCCTTGGCCACGCCCCGCCTTGGCCTCCCTTTTCTTTCCTCTCTGATGCTACACGTGTTGTTGTGTGCCGCTGCGGTCCGCCGGGGGCGCCGCTGAGCTGCACTTGCCTGAGGCGGGGGCGGAGGAGAGGGGCGTTCTAGAGACGGCGCAAGCGCAGCACACACACACACACACACACACACACACACACACACACACACCCTCTTGTAGACCTTTGGATGTCATGAGGCGAGACAGAAGCAGGTTGCTGATGGAAGGTGAGTGCGGGCGCCCGCCTGCCTGCTGGCGTGCGCAGCGCAGCGTCCGTCCACGTAGGTGGCGTCATGCCGCAGGGATTTTTGACAGTGGCAGCTGCGTTGTCGCGCGACCGCGCGCGGGCGGGCCGAGGTCAGCGCTCCAATGCAGCGGCCCAACAAGCCGTCAGATCCGGTCGCCGTCTTTCAAGAATCCGTCGGTGCAAATTTGCTCCGCTGGAAGACGCGCAGATGAGATTGTCGCCGTCTCGATGCGCCTTTGCGCCACTCTGGCGAGCGCTTGCGTGCCACCAGGCGCCTGGTGGAACGATTTGCCGCCGTGGCTAACAGGCCTGCGTGCGCGCAGAACCTTGGCGTGAGCTGCCGGGGGAGCCGCTGTGCGTGGAGCTGGACAAGGAAGCGGGCGGCGGCGTGGGGCTCAGCCTGGCCGGGAACCGGGACCGCCGCGCTCTCGGCGTCTTTGTGGCGGGACTCCGCCCGGGCGGGACATCGTGCGGAGGGGCGCCCGTACGCGCGACCTATGCCCTGTGGGCTCTGTGCGGCAGGTCAACGACCAGGTTCTTTACGGACGGAGCCACCGCAACGCCTCGGCCCTCATCAGGAGCTCCGCCTCCAAAGTCAAACTGGTCCTGCTCAGGTAACGGAAGCCTTTCGCCGCTCAAGCGTCCTCGCCGGCACGTTGACGACGTCGACCCCGCGTCGCAGGGGCCAAGACGGCATAGGGCAGACGGCGCTCCCGCCCTTCCCGCCGCCCCCCGAGGTAAACCGCCGCCGCTTCCTGTTCACCGGCGACGTCATCAATGACACGGCCTGCGTTTTCCCCGCCAGAGTGTCTCGCCGCCTGCGGGGGACCCGCTCGTCCCGGCGGAATGGCCGCACCCCCCCGAGCGCGACATGCTCCGCCCGCCCTCCGAAGAAGACACGGTCAGCCCCGTTTGGGAGTTTTGTCATTTCCGAACCTTCGGGCGGTCGGACTTGGGGCGGGGTGGTGCAAATGAGCCCCTCCCCGCCTGACCCGCGTTAGGACGCCGAGGTCGTCGGGGCCCGCCGCGACAACGACAACGACGATCCCGAGGAGGCGCCGCTAACAACAACGGCGGCGTGTGACAGTGACGAGTCGTGCGGCGATGACGACATCGACGCCGCGTCACCCGACACCCGCGCAGGTAGCGCCGCGTACGGAGACGCCCGGGTGGGTGAGGGTCGTCACGGTGACCGGGCTCGCTCTGCCGACAGGAAGCCCCGCCTCCCGGGACCCGTCCACCTGCCCCGTCCTTCCGGGACGAGAGACCACCTTGGAGATCCGCAAAGGTCGTTTGGGGCTGGGCCTCAGCGTGGCGGGAGGCGCCGACACGCAGCTCGTAAGTCCCATTTTCCTTTTCACTCCGCTTGCGCTTTGGACTCCAGTTTTGGACGCCATTCGGAGCGCAACCTGGCTCGACCCGTACCTTCACGTTCATTTTACATTCGTTTGACTTTTATTTCTGTTTGACTTCACGGTGACTTCCATTTGCGCTTTCCCTTGAGAATTGACTTGACGCTTTGGCCGACGGGGTCTTTTCTGGCGTTGTCAGCGTGCCGTGGTGATTCTGGAGGTGTACGACGAGGGAGCGGCAGCCAAAGATGGCCGCCTGTTGCCCGGCGATCGGATTCTGGAGGTACGCGCGCACGCCTCGGCGCTCGAAGGCGACAACGGTGACAACGGTGACAACGGTGACGACGGTAGTGGATTCGTCAATGTGAACGGCGCGGACCTTCGGCGGGCGTCTCACGAGGAGGCCGTCGCGGCGTTGAGGCGGCCGTGTTCCAAGGTGGCCGTGAAGGTTGCGCGGCGCGCGGAGACCGACGCCGGCTGGTCCGGCTCCGCCCGGCCACGGGGCCTCGGCTTCAGCGTCGCCGGGAAGAGGTCAGCGCTTCAATACTCCTCGTCCGTCTTCGCGCGTGTCGCTCTCTCCCTCCACTACCTCCGTGTTTTTGTTTGTGCGCACGCGTCTGCCTTTTTGTTTTTTTTTTGTCTGTGGGCGCTTGTGGCAATTTGTCGACGTGTGTCTGAGCGCGCGTGCAGGAGCGGCCGCGGCGCGTTCGTCTCGGAGGTGGCGCGAGGGGGCGCCGCCGAGCCGGACGGCCGTCTGACGCGAGGCGATCGGATCCCGTCGGTCAACGGCGAAGACGCCCCAAACGCAACCCAGGAAGCCGGCGCCCCCGTTTTGAAGGTGACACGCGCATCCTCGCGCCGTCTCCGGGGGCCGCGACTCGTGCCTCGACGCGTTCGGACTGGAGGTCGGTCGACTCGAGGCCGCTTCCCGCAAATGCGCGCGTGTGATTTTAACGTTGCCGGCTCTACCTTGCTGTCAAAAAACAAAAAAGTCGGCACATAATTAAAAGTTTGGAAGAAGGAGCCACCGCAGTCTAAGGAGTCATGAATGAGATTCAAGGGAGTGAAATGAGCAAGTCAAAAAAAACCCAAAAGAAGTTGTCGTCGTCTCTTTTGGAGGTGTGCGTCAGTGACGTCGACACGTGACCAGGCGAAAGCCGCGTCTCGTTTGGGGCGGGAAAAGTCACGTGACGGGTTTGAATCTGGCGTCGACGCGCAGTGGCCATTCGCTCGTTCAGTTGAGTCGCAGTGCGTCCAGAGTGGGACGATGAGTTGAGTCAAACGTGGACGTCCGGTTGGAATTTGGAGCGAAGCGACATGAGCAGCTTTCAAACTGCAACGCTGCCCTTCGGCCAGCAGGGGTCCTTAAAGAGCAGCGACGAATCGAACCCTTGGCCGCGACTTGCGAGACTCGTTGCTTCGTGAGGCATGAAGGGACAGAAAGAGCAATCTGAAGAGAGTCCAAAGGAAAAGTTCTGAAAGAACATTGAACTGTGTACATGTGCGTGTGCGTAGCTCCATGACGGCGGAAGAAGTTCAAAAGAAGAGGAGGAGGAGGTGGAGGACGACGACGAGGACACTTCCTGTCCTACCAAAGACACAAGTAGGTCACTGGCGTTTTGGGTTGTGGCCTCGTTGCCATGGTAACTTGACATGCGTTTACAGGCGCCCACCTGCGCACGGTGCACATCACCAGGGTAAGCCGACGCGAGCGCGAGCGCGCTCTGAGCTGACCGTGGATCAAAGGCCGACAAACGCCGCACGCGTCTTTCCAACCCTCGCAGGCTGCGGGGGACTCCCTGGGGCTGAGCATCGCGGGGGGGCGGGGCAGCCCTCTGGGGGACGTCCCCGTCTTCATCGCCATGATCCAACACCGCGGCGCCGCCGCCAACACGCGGCGGCTCAAGGTGCGTGCGTGCGCGCAGGTGAGGGCGCGCTCAAGTGCGCGAGCGATTCTGACGACTGGCGTGTTCGCGTCCAGGTCGGCGACAGGATCGTGAGCATCAACGGCCGGTCGCTGGACGCTCTGTCGCACCGCGACGTCGTCGGCGTGCTGAAAGAAGCCTCCGGAAACGTCTGTCTGCAGGTCGTGCGCACACGCTGACACAAATGGTTCATTTCTGTCATCGATCTACTCCGACAATGTTTCGTGCGTGCGTGCGTTCCAGGTGGTGGCGGACACCAACGTGGCCGCCATCTTGAGTCGGATGCAGAATTTGTCCAGCGGCGCCTCCGCTTTTCTTCCTCCCGTCGGCTCGCCCGCTGACCACGCCCACCCACAGTGAGTACACGCGCACACGTACACGCTCGCGCGCGCCCCCTGACTCTCTTGGTGCGCCCCTGCCCAACTCAGAGGACGAGGTCGTCGAACAATCGCGGTGGAGAAGACGAGCGACGGTTTTGGCTTCAGCATTGTTGGGGGAGTGGGGAGCGCACACGGAGATCTGCCCATCTACGTCAAGACGGTCTTCGACAAGGTCCTCCTCGCCATGCTAAGCTAACACGCTAACACGGATGGGGCATCGACATCAAGACAATCTTCCACAAGGTCCTCCTAGCCATGCTAAGCTAACGTGTGTGTGTGTGTGTGTGTGTGTGTAGGGGGCGGCAACAGCGGATGGGCATCCGAAGCGCGGCGACCAAGTTTTATCGGTAAACGGTGAAAGTCTGGATGGAGTCACGCATGAGCAGGCTGTGGCCATCTTGCAGAAACACACGGGAACCGTCACACTCGAGCTCCTGTCCTAACTCACACACACACAGGCCAACCCCCACCCAATGGCTAAAACGCTTCTCTCACGCACCCCCAATCACGTAAGGCTTTAGCTTCATGCCTGGATGCTAATGCTAGGAGGTAGCCTGATTGTGAAGCGACCGCTCGCCAAGTGCTACGTTAGTGCGCGGAAGTCTCGGCGGCGACTTCGCTCAGGATGGCGAGACGCCGTTTGGACAGCCGACCAAAGCTGCCCGTGATCGTCCTCCACAAACGACACACGTTTAGTTTTGCACAAGCGCTCGTCGATACTAACTCGCTTTCAACTGCCTCAGCTTGAAGATTCGAATAAATAGCAGCGAGCTCCACAAAGGACACAATGTAGATTGGAACACGCCACGCCCACCACATTTGTGTATTTGACTCGCGTTCAATAAAAGTGAAAAGTATTCACACATGCGGGCCCACATTTATTCGCACCTTTCTGTGTGTGTGTGAGCCAGTGGCTGCATGTGTTGTCACGAGCATGTTTGTGTAAAATAAAACCACTAACTGGCAGCGGGAGCCCAAATTCACTCGCCCGCATGGTGACACGCTGCGATTGGCTCCCTCCGTCCACGTCAACCTTTTTCGGGAGGGCGGCCGAGGCACAGCAAAGAACACGCACGCGCACGCACACACACAGCGGAGGTTCTGCCAAAGGACTTGAGTCGGATTTTATTTGCGGTCGTCGTCGGCGTTGGGCTCAGCACGGGCACGGCCTTGCGGGCTGCAGGTCCAGAGGCAGCCCTTTGCTGATGAGGAAAGCTTCTTGTTTGGGTTCGCGGCCGAGGAACTTCCTCAACATGTCCGACGCGTCCGCCGAGCCGCCGGGACCCAGGATGCATTTGCGGTAGTCCAGGCCCACCTGCGCGCAGCAAAGACGCAGCTTCACAAAGCGCACGCCGCCGCCCGCGTTCCGGCGCCCCCTTTGGCCTTTTGAAATGCGGCCACGCGGAAGAAGCCGACCAACACCGACCCAGAAAGAACCCGATGCCCGTGTTTTTTTTCTCTTCCTTTCTTTGTTTTCTATTTTGGGGCCCGCCGCGTCACGGAACGTTGGGACTTTTGCGAACGTTCGGGTTCGTCGTCGGAGCGTTCCTCCCGATTGAGAATCGTTAGCAAGTGGAACGGAGGAGGCGCGCGGCCCAACACCGCCCGAGCACCTTTGTGCGCGTCTCGCGGACGCCTTCCACCAAGTTTTGTGCGCGTCCGCCATACGGCGCTGCCTGATGGGCGGGCGCCTTTTTGCGCACGCGTTTACGGATGCGTGCTTTGTGCTTGTGCCGTGCAAGCGTGCGTGCGTGGCGCTCACCTTGGGGTTCATGATTCCTTCCTGTTTAAAGCGCGCGTAGAACATGTCCATGGAGAAGACCTCGCTCCACAGGTAGCCGTAGTACTGCGCGTCGTAGCCGTCGGACAAATGGCCGAACGTCGCCGGCATGTTGGTGCCTGAGGACGGAAAGGCGTCACGTGAGGTCAGCCGCACGATGATCGGGATCTTTTGGGGGCTACGTTCAATTGAGCACGTGACAAAGCCAAGAGGTTTCATCCTCAAACGGATGAACGTTGTCTTCCCCCATTTTGAAGACGCCGCCTGCGCCGCTCCACAAAGCCTGCCCTTTGGAAACTTTGGAGGTGGACTTCCTTCCCACCCTCGCTTGACGCACAAGGCCAGTTTCTCAACAGGTGCCGTGTTTCGCCACGAGGGGGAAAACCGAGCATGAACACGCACTGGCCGATGCCACCGCCAAGTGAGCGTGGTTTCCCAAAGGCCTCCGGGGCCCGCGGGGCAACACCCATGACACCATGATGGCGGTTTTTGCGACGGCGCCACCCGAAAGCTCACCGAAGCCCGGCGTGACGTTGCGGACTTCCCGAAATGCCGTTTCTTTTCTCATCGACAAACGTTAGGTGGAAGCGTCAAACGGTTATGCGAGCGTCTCACGACTTGACGCCGCGATCGATTGAGTGCGCGGCTCCCGGAGGAAGCCAAAGACTCACCGGGCGAAGCGGGAATGCCGAGCACTTCCCGGCAGAGTCGCGCGTACTCGTCGGCGGGGTCCAGGCCGCCGCGGGTGTGCAGCGCCTGATCCACCTTGGCCAAAACGATCTGCCGCAGGTTGAAGAGTCCTGCGCACGGGCGCGACGTCATCAAGGGTGCGCGTGCGCGCGCGCGGGCCAGCGGCGGCGGCGGACCGACCTGTGTTGGCCAGGCGAGACTTGATGAGTTTGTCCAGGAGCTCCTCGGGGATGGGCTCCTGCGTCTGGAAGTGTCGCGACATCCTGCGCAGGGGTTCCTTCTCCCACACCCAGTTCTCCAGCATCTGAGACGGCGCCTCCACAAAGTCTCGCTCCACGTGGGTGCCGCTGAACATGGCGTAGTCCGCCTGCACGCAAGACGCAACGTGCGCATTCACCTCGGGCGGACGGACGCCTCGCTCGTTCTTATGTCGTCATGTGTATTTGCCAAAAATCGATGGAAAAAAGCAAGCTCGTTTGCTCTCGTCAAGAAAGATCCGATTTGATGTCGTGCGGTTGCGTCTCTGACCTGCGCGCACAGCTGATGCATGACGTGTCCAAACTCGTGGAAGTAGGTCTCCACCTCGTCGTGCTGCAGCAGCGAGGGCGCGGCGACCGTGGCCTTGCTGAAGTTGGCCACCATGGCGGCCACCGACATCTGGCGCCGGCCGTCGGGCAGGAGGCAGCCCGGCTGGAGGCCGAAACAGGCCGCGTGGCCGTACTTGCCCTCCCTGAGGGGAGCGCAGCGCACACGCGCCGCTCACAACGGGCCCGAAACGGGACGCGGCCGCGAGCGCCGCACCTTCGGTCGCGCCGAGGGAGAGAAAAAGCGCCGGGTCGCTCGGACCCGGGCCCCGAGGCGACGCGCAAACGCGCCGGCTCGAGGCCGCGAACGCAAAGCCGTCCGGCGGCGCTCACCTGGGGTGGAGGTCCAGGTAGAACTGGCCCAGCAGCTGGCCCCGGGCCAGGTCCTTGACCGAGTAGACCTTGACGTCGGGGTGCCACACGGGGGCGCCGTCCAGCAGCTCGAAGCTCAGGCCCAGCAGCTCCTGGTAGATGTCCAGGAGGCCCCGGGTCACCACGTCCATGGGGAAGTACTCCTTCAGGAGGTTCTGGTCCACCGCGTAGCGGCTCTCCTCCACCTGCGGCGGCACGGAAAGGCCCGCGGTCGGCGTGAGCTCCGGCGGCGCGCGCTCGCTCCCGATGGGTCGGGAGGCAAACCTCGGGGCCCAACGCCATTCGCCGAGCGCCCATTTCCCATTGCCGCGGCGACGGGAGGTCTTTGCGTCACCTGCGTCATGAAGTAGCGCGTGTCCCAGGCGTGAAGCTGCCCGTCGAAGGGCAGCGCCCGTTTGCGGCACTCCTCCTCCTTCAGCTTCAGGATGAGCGAGCGCTCGTCCTCGCCCAAAGGCTTCAGCTTGCGGTACAGCTCCTCTGAAGAGAGCCACGGCACGCGTCAGCCGGGCGAAAGGACGAAAGGACGAGCGGCGGCGGCTCACCCAGGAAGGCGGCCACCCGCTTGGCCGACTTGGCCATGTTCATCTCCAGCACAAAGTCGGCGTGGGTGCCGAAGCCCAGGAGGGAACTCTTGCGAGCTCGCAGTTCCACCATCTCCCTCAGGATGGCCGAGTTCTCCTGCAGGGCGGGACGCGGCGCCGGCGTCAAGGAAGGACGGGCGGCCGGCTGGCAGCGCTCGGTCGGCTCACCTCCTTGCAGCGCGAGTTGAAGGCCTCCTCCAGCTTCCTGCGGGTCTCCGGCACAAAGCACTTCTTCATGGCGGGGAAGTAGTGCGGGTACTTCAGGGTCACCTTCAGTCGCTCCCCGTCTTTGTCCAGCGAGCTCAGGAAGTCTTCCGGCAGGCCGCCTGCCGAAGGGAGAACGAAGAAGGAAGAAGGATGAGAGACAAGAGGGACGCAAAGAACGGGAAGGGGGAGCGGAAGAAGACGGAGAAGCGGCAAACGTCGCAGAGACGGGAGGCGGCGTCCCGGCACCCACCCAGTTGCTCCCTGCTGAAGGTCAGACTGGTGGTGTCCTCGTTCAAGTTCTTGTTGAAGTCGATGCACAAGTTACTCAACGTCTTCTTGATGCGCTTGATCTCCTGCGGGCACAGGCACGGGCGCGGGCGCGGTGAAGCCGCGCGCCAGCGGGACCGGGCTTTTGCCGAGCGGCGGCGCTCGCACCTCTTGCGTGGCCTTGGGGAGGTGCAGCCCGTTCCGTTGGCCCAACTTGAGCAGGCGCTCCATGTAGCGCCGCGACTCGGCCGGCAGGCCGCCGCCGCCGCCGCACTCCAGCTTCTTCTGCGCGCACACACGCACGCACGCACACGCAGGCAGGTCGGCAATGGCGTCAAAGCGCGGCGTCAAAGACGCGGGAAGGACGTGCGGAGGGCGGGCGGCTACCTGCAGAGCCACAATCCTCAGGTAGACGTCCTCCCTCATGCTCATCTCCACGTCAAACTCGGACAAACGCTTGTCGGCTTGCGTGCTGGCCTCTCGCACGTCCTTGCGGGGAGAAACGTGCTGCGGGAAGTCCAGCGCGTTTCGCTGCACTGAAGGCCACACGCAGACGGCGGGACGGACGGGTGAGCAGCGTTCGCCGCGGACAGGCCCCGCCCGGGTGACCTCCGGAGGCCCCGATTTCGGAACGCGGCGCCGCTTGTTGTTTGCGGCCAAAGCGCTGACGCGGGCCACCTTTGGAGGGCAAACGCCGACTCGGCGTTCCTGCGCGCCTCAACAATGGCGGCCCCACAAAAGGAGCATTCCGCGCGTTTGCGCCGACGCGGCGCTCCGAAGTTTCCGGACGCACGGCCGAGCGCATCGCGCCAAAAACGGGCCCGCGGCGAAGCCGCGAACGACGGCGCCTTCGTCGCCGGATCCGCGAGCCTTTTGGCCCACGTTGAAAAAGCGGACGCGTCGACAAACACGTGAAAAGGGCCGGCCGGCCAGCTTGCCGGAATCGGCCCGAGCGTCGCAAATGTGAGCTGCCCCGCCGCGAAAAATCATTTTGAGGCTCACGAAAGATGGTCCACATTTGGGCCATTTCAGCCTCGCGCACAGCAAATATCGTCAAACGTCCGGCAGCCTGTTGGTCTTTCATTAAAAGAAAACGCCCGCCCGCCGTGACTTTTTTTCTGAATCGTCATCGACGTCGGCGCGCGTGCTCATTTCCTGCGCTGTCAGTTGGGTAGGATGTCCGGTTTTGGAATCAAGGGATGGAAACTAAAACCTCAAAAGCCCAAAAAAAAGTGGATTCGTCAATGAAGCCAAATTCTGCTTCAACGCAGAGGCGGAGGCGAGGCTGAAATTCAGAGACGTCGATCGACAACGTTCAACGAGGTCCGCTAACGATCGCCCGATGACGAAAGGCGAGGCGGATGGATTTGGATGAGGGATGAGTTGCGGACGGACGCGAAGCGACTCGCGACACGCACCCGTGTAGTCCACCTCCAGGTCGGCCAGCGCCTTGATGGTGTTGTGGAAGGTGACGGCGTCCAGGTCCAGGGCGCCCACGTCGTCGTAAACCTTCTTGGTGTCGGCCATCAGCTCGTCGGCCATCCGGCGGATCTGCTCGGCGCTCAGGTCCCATCGCAGGCGGTTTGCCGGGCACACGCCGCCGCCCGTCGGGGCCTCACCTGCAGGTCGGCCAATAAACAAGGCGGGCCGTTTGCGCGGCTCCAAAACGGCTCGCGTCGAGACCGCGACGTTGCGTTTGCCCGTTCAGGACTCGTGGGTCCGCTAGACGTCGTTTGCCGCTTTCCAACCCCCCCTGCTCGGCGCTCAGGTCCCATCGCAGGCGGTTTGCCGGGCACACGCCGCCGCCCGTCGGGGCCTCACCTGCAGGTCGGCCAATAAACAAGGCGGGCCGTTTGCGCGGCTCCAAAACGGCTCGCGTCGAGACCGCGACGTTGCGTTTGCCCGTTCAGGACTCGTGGGTCCGCTAGACGTCGTTTGCCGCTTTCCAACCCCCC